TTACAAATTTAGGCTATATTCTTACTTTTGCTGCTAATAATTAATTTGTTAATTATATTTGCTGGGTGCCTTATCTAAACAGAATCAAAGGAGGATGGGGTTGGAGACTCTCATTGGGCTTGGCTGGTTTTCCGGCACTTCTCTTAACCGCAGGGGCTCTCCTGGTGTTAGAAACCCCTAACAGCCTCATTGAGCGTGGTCGCCTGGACGAAGGAAAAACTGTGCTTAGAAAGATTCGTGGTACAGATAACATTGAACCAGAGTTCTTGGAGCTCGTTGAAGCAAGCCGAGTGGCAAAAGAAGTAAAACATCCTTTCAGAAATCTCCTCAAGAGGAGGAATTGGCCCCAACTAGCTATAACAATAGCCTTGCAGGTCAGTACTTTCAATGAATGGAAACTGTAACTGACATCTTCCATCAATTTGGTTAAATTTAAGAGGCATTTAGACTGCAATATGTATCAACGTGAATTCACTATGATACTTGCCGAGCATAATAATGAGGACCTGATTAACCTAACAAATTAAAAAGCACGTTTCAGCTTTCAATCATACCATATAGTTTTCACCAGTTTAGTTATTCGTAATACCTCATTACCTTGTATTCCAAAGATTTGCCTGATGATCTTTAATTCACTGTTGCAACAGATCTTCCAGCAATTCACAGGAATTAATGCAATCATGTTTTATGCACCGGTTCTATTTGACACAGTGGGATTTGGCAGTGATGCTGCCCTTTATTCAGCTGTTATAATTGGGGCTGTCAACGTTCTTTCCACCTGTGTATCCATCTACTCAGTGGACAAAGTTGGTCGCAGGATGCTCCTACTGGAAGCTGGTGTCCAAATGTTCTTCTCTCAAGTGGTAATAGCAATAATACTGGGAATTAAGGTTAAAGACGACTCTAATGACCTTCATCGTGGTTTCGCAGTTCTAGTAGTTTTGATGGTGTGCACATTTGTCTCTGCCTTTGCATGGTCTTGGGGGCCTCTAGGATGGCTAATCCCCAGTGAGACTTTTCCATTGGAGACTCGCTCAGCTGGTCAAAGCGTCACTGTCTGTGTCAACTTGATCTTCACTTTTGTTATGGCACAGTCCTTCCTCTCCATGCTCTGCACCCTGAAGTTTGGCATCTTCTTGTTCTTCTCTAGTTGGGTGTTCATCATGTCAATATTTGTGGTATTTCTGCTGCCGGAGACGAAAAATATACCTATTGAAGAGATGACTGAGAGAGTGTGGAAGAAACATTGGTTCTGGAAGAGATTTATGGACGACAATGAGGAGGTAGCAGCAACTGGAGCTAATGGTGACCACTCACCGAAAAAGGGGCATTCTAATGGACTTGATCCTGCTTCCCAGTTGTAAATTTGAGGGGTTTCAAGGATACTACAAAATGAATATCGAATAGCTATCAAATTTTCCACGTGTCCGCTCTAGGATATGATTGTAAGAAATCTAGGGCCGGTGGGATTTTTACATTGTTTTATGTTTTATAGCTGCCTACCTTATACCTTATACCTTAATGAAAAGTTCTCTTTGCTTTGATTACTTGGCGAGTTAGCCCTCATAACTAATTATCATCTGATTAATACCTTTAGGCCTCATCATCCTGGCAAAACTAGGTTCTGGGCCTTTGGGCCGGGTTTCTCACCACCCTTCCGCCATACACCACCAAAGAAAAGGGCCAGAATTTGGTCTTAAGCTCGGTTCTATAATATTGGGCTATTTTCTGGTAGCTAAACTAGCCAGCGTACTTGTATCTTTTCTTATATGTTGAAAGAGATTATTCCACGACTAGGCTTCGAGCTCGATGATCCTAACGATTCTCTGTCGAAATTTACCTCTCAAATAAATTGATAAAAAAAACAGTGAAAATTTAACATTCCAAAAAAAGCATGGAAGGGCAATCGATGCGTGAAAGGTGCTTTACAAGCTTAATTTATGCAAATATATATGAGGTTATTTGGGATCCCACTTAAATGAGCGTTTCTCCTCCTAATTGTCAGTTTCTCCACCAACCAAAGTCTTCGACACTATATCCACTAAATTGACAACATATTCTAACTGCAATGGAAATAAATTTGTTTAATTAACCTCGGACGCTCAATAAGTTGATCTACAGAGGGCGATGGAATGCACAATGATATATATATATATATTGATTGGTGAGATAAAGAAATAAACACAAGCAGGACTGATTCATAGAAGCTGTGATTGTCCACATGGAAGAAGTTTGTCTTCACAGCCTCTGTGACACAGTGCGATAAGAGGCCCTACTGTTCTCAGTGCCATTCTTTTTATTGGGCATACAGCCTAGAGTCTTAGATAAATGGTTATTGATTAAGATTATCTCAAATTCTGTCCTAAATTCACTCGACTAACATCTGGGATCGAGAGAAATGCCAATATTCAATTTACTGGTCAATTTTCTTTATTAGCATACCGCGGCTCTACGGTAGCCAGGTGACATCATCACTATTTTTTTTTAATCAAAGACTTGAAACGGGAGTTTACCAAAAAAGTGTTACAAAATTCGAGTCGAGAAGAAGTTGTTGGATGGAGAAATATGCTGGTGAAGAGCAGTAGCGTAGCGTTGCGGAGGTTGCGAGACCATACTTGTCCGATGAACAAAGTAAGGAGTTTGACTCCACCGGCAGGAAGTAATAGTGGTGGGCTCGTCATCATTGCCACTGGAATCCCACCACTCACCAACACCTATGATTCTTTCCTCTCAAGTTGCTGCATGCCGAAAACAGCGAGGATGGGTGAGGCAACTACAATATCAAACCTAATTCGCTTTTCAAAAAATATTTTACCTCCAGATCCGAATATTGTTAACTCTGTCAGTGTAATTATAATTTTCTTCTCCAATAAAATAAAATTTAACACTAGCTTTCAAGTATATTATTTTTTCCTCCATGATCCATTGATTATTATTAAATTAATCATGGGCAAACAATTTTTTTTCATTTTAATTATATAATAAAATAACTAAAATATGATTTTCAAGCAAAATAATTTAAAATTTGCCTTATGAGTGTTCTTGTATTTTTATAATTTTTTTTTGTTATTATAATGACCGCAGAATGGTAATTTAATATTTAATAAAAAGTATAATAAAATGATAAAAATATTATTAAAAATAAATATTTTAAAATTGAAATCAATGAAATTTTTCATCTTTTCAGATATTATTAAATTGGTTTGGAGATAACTTAATATTTAACTAAATATAAATAAATTAAAAACAAATAAAAAGACAAGTTATACAAACACATTCACTAGCGTCTAGGATCGCTTGTGTCTTTTGGGTGTCTCTCGTGTGGCATCTTCCAGCATCAAAAAATGCTCTTTCTTTTTTTTCTTGATTTTTTTATGAAAAAATATTATTCTTTTTAATTTTATTCTTTCATCAACTTTTTTGATTTTTTATGTTAATTTTAATCTTCATTCTTTTAACTTTTCCAGGCCCTTTAGCTAAGTTATTTTTTTTTAATTTTACCCTTCGACCCATATATAAAATTTATTTTTTATTTCAATTTTTATTTTTTAATTTCTATTTTTTTCTTGAAAATTTTTATTATAATTTAATTTTTTTTCAATGTCATTATTCAGTATTTGATTGATTAAAAATTAAATTTCATGCTTTTTTTTCTAAATAGAATGTTTCAATTTTAATGATTTGGGTTATGAATTTAAAAGTAAACATATTTTTTTTAAAAAATGAACTTTATAACTCTTTTTTTTTTAAGTTATTTCAATCTTATTATTTGAGTTATAAATTTAACAAAATATCCTAGAGTGACTTGATCTTGATTACTAAGATTATAGATTTGTTATATTAATTTGGGTGGATTATGATCAATTTTTCATTTCCTTTTCTTATCCCATCTTATTCTTCTTCTTTATTTAATGTGTGATGAATTGAGATAAAACGTTTCTCTCATTTTGAATTTTTTTCTAAGCAATCCTAATTTTTTTTTAAAAATCTTGATTTATCTATTATTTTTAACTTTTCATTTCTATCTAATAGAAATAAAACTAACTTATTTTATCTAGATTTATATACATGTGTGTGTGTTTCAAAAACATAAATGTGATGTTGATACCTCAACATCATTTCTTATGGAAAAAAGAAGAAGAAGACAACCGGCGGCGAAGTGCATCAACCGAGCCAAGTTGCCAACTATTGGTTCTCAATACTTAGATTGAAATTCCAAGTCATTTACCCCACGTCTCAATTTGGAAGGCGACATGAGACAAGAAATGGTATGGACCCCTTCAACCCATCTCACTAATTAATTTGATAATATATTTTACTGGCCTGGTCAGATATGGAGACCGCAGTGGCCACTCAAGTATTTCTCAGTTATTTTCTTTAACAATATTTGCATAAGGGCTTCTCTAACGTGTGTTTCGTGTTAATTTAAGGAAATAGCAAAATTAAATTACATAATCGATGATATTGAATCATGGAATATAGTTTTACTCAATTACGAAAATAAATCAATTAATTATATAAATGATTCTTTTAATAGCATCAATTATCGTGTGCCTTTAAAACATATGTTAAAAAAAAAAAATACTTCACATGAACGCTTCATTTGCATATTTGTTTTTTATTACTTACAATCAACATATTTGGTTTAGAGTTTCTCAACGAGAACGCGGAGGTCCTCTGTTTGTCTCAAATGGTGTCCGAAAAACAATCTACACGTCAGCAATGAATCATTTAAACGACAAACCTATTCCCTCTAACTTTTAAATTACTTTACACCTAGACACGTGTGGTAGTTTGTCCTTCTTCCGTCTAAACATTCTGAAGGGAAAAGATCAATAAAAGAATTTTATAAGTGCACGGTCTCTCGGTCCTTGTAGTTTGGAGTTTGGACCTCTGTCGTCAATTTACAGTAAAAAGGGTCCTCAATCGCATATATTAAGATATATGGGGGACCAAAGTCTCATTTTCTTAAAATCTATCATCATTAAATGACACCAAGCTGCCAGCCAAACCCCATGTAAATTCCAAAAGATTTATAAACGCCTCAAGCGAAAGGTGCCTCTCCAGTTCTCATCACTCAATTCAAGCAAAACAAACCCACCAAGCATCTCAATTCTCACAGTTTTGCGGCCATGGCTTTGGTGATAAGGGCCGTGGCTCTGCTGACGGCAATGACATTAATGCTGGAGTTGATCCATGCAGCCGTGTACAAGGTTGGGGGCTCTGCTGGTTGGACCGCTAGCGGTAACATTGACTACAAACAATGGTCTGCTACCAAGACATTTCAAGTTGGTGACGTAATCCGTAAGTTAATTCATTGCCCTTTCTTCCCTCATCAATCTTTACTTTTTATGGCTGCATTTGGGTTGTCCATTCTGACTTTACATTTCATAATTCTGGGGGTTCTCATTTTCCATACAAACCATAATCTTGTAGGCTAAAGTTGATAGTTTCAGTTTCCAGTCACCAATGTTTTCTTAGAAATATTGTTTTATGGTTTCCATATAATCTCAAAATCTGGTTATTGGCGGACAAGTTCTGCTAGTATCGTGCCTTTCCAACTCTGCTATATTTGCTTTACAATTTACCTCTCGTGACCTCTCATTGTAATTAGGTGGCTTAGCATAATGCGTGCAGATCAAGACCACCAGCAGCAAACTTTCCTGGCTATTCTCTCTCCCTCACATAATTTCTTTGCTTGTTTGTTCTGGATTCAACGTTTTGATGTTTGATCTTGACGGGTACTGTTGTTAATCCCAGTTGGCTGTCCCTGTGGCAAGCCCAACTGTGCATGTAAACTGGCCACATGTGTGGGTGGGTGACCTGTAATCCTCAAGTGCGCTGAGCAATTTTAGCTCCAACGTTTACTTGTTAAGATTTCATGATGATATTGGTGGGCCATGCAGATGCTAGCATTAATGTATATTATATGTTGCCCCCACCATAGGAACTCTGACCCTTCTGTTCTAGCATGCTTCAATAATGATGAATCGCACTCAGCATGCTACATTCCCCTATAGTCCATCACATTGACGCCGTAAATTTCGTGATTTGGCATGATAATGTCGGTATGGGTCTCTTTCTTTTGAGACATTTCATGCGAGGTGGGAGGCAAGTAAAACTGTAAAACATCACATCCGTTCGTACAATTTATGGAAATGACGAGGAATATAAGGAATTTCTTGCTCTGGTTGGGGGGGGGGGGGGGGAAAAAATAATATTCCAAAGCT